AAGATTTACCTCCTTAATCCCATTTAGAATATTTCAGCTTCATTTTGTTTCTATCTAACCCAACATTTTTCACATACTACTCTAAAAATCTAGTTCTAAAAATATTTTACTTACCCCGCCTCCTTCCTCCTGCCCCAATCTCCATGTAAGAGATAGGGCCACACTTCCAACCTGGTATAGAGCTCCTCCATTTGGTTTGACTGTCAACTACCTTGAACAGGCTGTTTTTCCATTAATCAGAATGGTAGTGATCAATGGGGCCACATCACGAATGAGTCTTTGTCAATGTCACATGTATTTTTAAGTCTCAAAGCAGAAAGAAAGACACACTGAATGAATATACTTTAGGATGGCCAACAGAATGACAAGATAATATCCCCTTGTTACCAATTCATCAAGATATGGGCAATGATCTCTTCTCAGAATTTATGCAATGGTTAACCCTATGTGAAATGTGAAACTTTCAATTGGAACACTGGCCGGAAGTTACTTTGAGTATTTCCTGCATTACTGCATTTCGCCCACAAAATATACAGTCAATTCACTTTAAAGTATATTCTGTGAAGCACTTTGTGATGTCTCGAAGACGTGATAAGGCGCTATATCAAATGCAAGGATTATCGTACATTGTTCAGAAACGTTGAGAAATAAAATTAAAATGAGCTGAAATGGGCAGAGCTAAACCCTGATTTTCAGCAGGACACCAATGATTGGTGAGCAGAAGTGAATCACCATATTTTCCAACATTGTCGTTAAATATTGTCATTGTCAAGTAGATTCACTGGTTGTAATGCGTTATTGGAAAGTTACTGGAAAGATCGTAGTGCTTAATACACTAATGTACCTCTTTCACATGCCGGTTTTTGCTTGCACAGCTGGAAGGCAAACTCAAAGAAACTATATGTTGCTGCCTGTTCAGATGGATATTAAAGATCTCACAACACTATTTGAAAAGAAAACAGAGTTTCTCCCCTTTTTCTGGCCAAGTCAAACAAAAAAAATGGTTCTGTCACATGAAGGATTAACCTTCAGTAAACTCGCAGAGTGAACATCACAGTTTTAATCCTTCAGTGAGTGCACATTTTCAAACATCAGCTGCATGGGGCTGTTCACGTTGACATCTGCCAGAAGCAAAAAAGAACAGAATTCAAATGAATTAGAAGTGCCCTGTGATCTCTATAAAACAATATATTATTTAAAATCCTGGCCAGTTAGTACTTAAGGATCATAGAAATAATAGCATTGAAGGAAGCGATTGAGTCAATGCTTGTGGTTGCTGCTCGATTAGAGCTATTTATTCTAATTCTAAATTCTGCAATTTTCCTTAAGCCCTTTTGTTATTTCTCATCAAATACAAAAATCTTGCACTTATATGGCATGTAGGATAACTTCTCGAAGCAATATAGTGGCAGGGTTGGATGTCGAGCAACAATAATAATCCTTGAATTTTTTACAGCTCCTTATCACGTTGAGATGCTTCAGAGTGCTTCACTGAATATACGTAACGTGAATTGGTTGTATATTTTGTGGGCAAAATGCAACAGTCAATCGCACACAGCAGTGTCCCCCAACCAGTCGTGGATTGAGTAACTAAATATTTTTTTTGAAGGGATTATTTTTAAAGAGTAGAGCGATCAGCCAATCAACTGAGAACCAGGTTTCTGCTGACTGCTAGGTAAACAGAGATGTGTGGAGTAAAGGAAACTTGCCTAAGGTTTTGCCCTGTCCTGGAATCGAACCCAGGCCCTCTCGCAAGGTAGAAGGTGGAGGAGTAAGTGACGGTGGGTGCCATCGATGAGATAGATTTTCAGGTGGGATTTAAAGACAGATAGAGGGAGATAAAGTGGAGGGATTGAGGTAGGGCATTCCCGAGATTAGAGGCTTTGACAAATAGTGGTCCATTTCTGTTAAATGTTGTTGTGGTAGAAGCTTCATTTCTCATTACAATACATGATAATGTGTGAAAACATTGTTTTCTCAACTTATTTTTTACTATTTAGTAACTGTCCTAAGATCATATCACCTTGTTACCAATTCATCAAGATGCAGGCAAGGATCTCTTCTCAGAATTTACACGATGCCTAACCCTATGTGAAATGTAAAACTTTCAATTGGAACACTGGCTGGTAACTACTTTGGGTATCTCTTGCATTGCTGCTTAGAAACGTTGAGAAACGTTGAGAACTAAATTAAAATAAGCTGCAATTGGCAGAACTAAACCCAGATTTTCAGCAGGACACCAATGATTGGTGAGCAGGATCGAATCACCATATCTTCAAACATTGTTGTTAAATATCAGAGTAGTTTGTGATTCACTGGTTGAAATGAAATTACTGGCAAGATCTTGGTGCTTAATACACTAATGCACCTCTTTCACATGCCGTTTTTTTGCTTGCACAGCTGGAAGGCAGCCCCAAAGATGTTGCTGCTTTTTCAGATGGACATTAAAGATCTCACGACAGTATTTGAAAAGAAAACAGAGTTTCTCCCATTTTTGTGGCCAACAATCTTTCAGATAAATTTTTCATTGATTCATAGCCATTTGTTGGAACATGTTGTGCGCAATTTGTCTGCCACGCTTGCCTACAAATACTGCTACTACAAATTACACTTGACAGCAATTACCTGAGCAATGCTTTGAGACCTTTCGGCTTTATAGGCACTACTTCCAATGCAATGTTTTTTGTTTTATTTATATTGAGAAAAAATCAGACAGGTAATGAGTAACAATGGAATTTTATGTCATGTTACATGTGAATGTGGAAGATATCCTGACCTACAGAGATGACATAATATGTACTATTAGACTGTAAGGGTTTCTTGCATTAAAAAAAACTGCAAATGTAGAAAATCTGAAATAAATACAGAAAATAATGGAAATAAATTATAATAATCCACACATTTGCACCTTTCACATTGGGAGGACATCCCAGAACACTTATATATAAGTGTTGTATAAGTGACTGTATATTTGTAGGCGAACTTGGCAGCCCAATTGCTCACTGCAATGACACACAGCCATGAAACAAATTACCAATTTTATTTAGGGGATTGTTGGCCACGCCACCAAGGAGAAATTCCCTTCTCTTTTTGAATGATGCCATAGGATCTTTAACCTCAGTTTAATGTCTCATCCGAAGGACAGCACCCGACAATGCACCCCACCCCCCCCTCCCACCACCACAACCATCACCACCACTCCACTGGCATGTCAGCTCAGGCGATGCAAGTTCAAGTTCAGATGTGGGGTTTGAACCCTCAATCTTGACTCAGAGGTGAGTGTGCTATCACTGAGCCAGGCTGACACAAATGCACAGAATTTGGCAAATTAGCATGAAGTAGTTGAGCCAAATGGCTTGTTTCCATGTTGTAACATTCGATATAATAAGATAAATCAGCATCTAAGAGAAAATGATAGCTTAATGGTTAGGGTATGAACATTCATTAGTCCTGATACAGGAAATCTCTAACAGGAAGGGGACGTGTGCAATCCAGCAGCATAGGTGAAAACACAAGGCAGAGTGATTTGCATTGTATCATAGCAAACTTCCTCATATCAGCAGCAGGCAGGAATACTCAAGAGTGTAGGTTATTTTAGAGTGATTAAATTGTTATGGATTAGTGCAAAGATAGTTAAAATAATTTAAATTATTAGATTGTTCCCATCACTCAGATTTTTTTTAGCTAGTTTAGATTTCCTCAACTGATAAACGTTTTCTATTGCGAGAGATTGTAGTCTATCTCTACCTTTTTATCTGCTTAACCCAGCCCGTTCTATGCAGAACTTCTGCTTGGAAACGGTCTTTGCCACAATAGTGTTTACCCAATCCTGCCTTGGAGATTTTAGCATTCTCACTCAATCACTTTAGGTGCAAAATATTTAACTTACTATGGGCTACTTTTGCTTCTTTAAATTGTTTAATGTAATTCAGCAGTGAGCAAAATGTGAAGCACAGATCACCAAAATGTCTATGCTGCGCTTTTTCGAATTGTACACATTGTTTTGTGCATACTGCATTATTTGTAGCAGGATTTAAGATTGGCAGGGACAATTTTGTTTGTGATTCTTAGTTCTCTGTAGCCCTGAAATATCAACCTGTTTTAAAATTTAGGATCACACGGATTGTAGAAAATTCTTAAATTTAACCTTAATTTTGGAAACCTGCTGTGTTTTAAGAACTGTGAAAAATTGGCTTCCAGATTTATATTGAATTTTCCACAATTCTACACAGCTTTAAAGTTTTAAGACAGAATTATCTTACAAGTTAAGACTAAGGGATATTTTAGAAGACGATGGTCCAACGTTTTGGTGGCTGAGGGCAGCATGCCCTATTTAAGAAACGTCCGCAGGCTGCATAAGCAATATTTTTATGTTTCCCTTCGAGAAACATAACATTTATGGGTTATGAAAAGGGGGGGCAGGCAGGCAGATTAAATCAGCCCACGGGGTGAATCCGCTCTGAAGGCTGCCAGTTGGACACCCTATTTTAGACCTTCGGTTTATTTCTTTTGTGTGGAATAATGAATATGAAATTATTTTTTGTGTAATCGTTAGCCTGCACCTACTGTAATGCAACCAATTTTGGTCAATGTGAAATGAAAGCCCCCCCACCCATATCACTGTACCCAGAGACAGTGCATAAGGGGACTTGACTGATTGAGGGAGGAGATATGAGGAATGACTAGTTATGGTGCGATTCTTCAGCCTACATACAGAGGTACGTTGACTTTCTGACTCAGAGGTGAGAGTGCTACCACTTCATAAAAGGTAATCAACAGCTGTTTACTGGGAAAGGTGGCTGAGGCCAGGACAATTGACTCATTTAAGAAACAGTTTGATGCCATATTGGAAAGATGGTAGGGTTTGATATCCTTGAAGATGACATCAAATGAGACAAAAGACCTTTTTCATTCGAACTTCTCTTGCAATCTTGCGATTTGATGTATAGTGATAGTAATTGGCACTGAAACAACTGGACACACAAAAAGTTTATTCCTGAGTTTCCCTAAATTTATTTCAGTAGCTGTGCACTCAGACAGTACAAACCTTACAGTATTTTCCCTAAAAAAATCAACAAAGATTCTGCAACTTTTTTTTATAAAGACTTGTTATTTAAGTCACAGTAACAGAGGTTTCCAACAGTTTTAAGAATCAGTTAATGTATTTCACAACGCTTTACACAAACCATTACTAAATGAGAAAATACATTATACAGTCCAAGAAAAAAGAGAGTATTGCACTTGAAAACTGCATTTACCTGTATAGAACAACCAGTTCAAGTTCAAAGAGTCTTTTATAGACTCAAATGATGCTTATACCACTGAGTGACAAGAATTTGAGAGAAAAAGCCATTAGAATTAAACCTAGGCTACAAATGGCTGCTGCCAACACCTGACATTTGGAACAATAAAGTAGTTTTCATAAAAAAGTTAATTAAAGCATTTAAAAATATTTATAAACATAGCAGTTGTCAATGCTGAAACTTTCTAAATAATTGCATAAAAGTTTATAGTTTCAGATTTCTTACAAAGGTATGTTAAAAGGAAAATGTACATCCAGAGTTTTGCACACAAAATAGCATATGTTGCCACCATTAAACAAACCAAGGAAGAGGTTCCAGTTACCCGATTCCAGTAGCAAATGCACTACAAAGCTGATGTACCTTTTATTTTTCAAGCATTTTCTTGTATAAAACTACACTTTAGTACAAAAATATGTAAACAGCTTATACCTAATGCTCTAGCGATAACAAAAAGCCATGGATTTAGGACAGGAACATTTGTTCCAGATTAGAAAATGCTACATGAAACAGGAAGTGAGTCTGGTTAAGAACTGACAGTGCGTCGTAATCAGTCAAATGATCACAGTTTCAGAGTTTTAATACATCCTTCCCTTGTTGCTATATGTTCAGAAATTAACAATAGTCTCCAAGTACTCAATGAAAATTTCCAGTAAGTGCATAGTTTGAGTCCTAATCTTGTTCCCCTTCAACAAGCTATCTGTCTGTGTGAGAGGTAAATTTTTACTCGTGCCATGTAAAAGGCTGCCAGGAGTGTCATCTGACTGGTGCTGTGTTGTATCACTCATATCTGCTTTTTTTAAATACTAACACATTAAATGACATTTGTGAGAAAGCAAAGAAATCTTGACTGGTTAAAACTGTGATAACCTAAAAAAAGGGACACCAGTCACTAGATTAATACTGCAGCTGCGATTAAATGTTCTAAACCTCATATCTAATTAGTGATTGCCTTTTTCCTAGTAGTTCACTATTCACCTCCCCCAATTTTATATGAGTTAAAGCCTCTAGTATTATTTCTGTCAACCTCACGACATAAAAAAATTAACCAGCCAGTGTTGTTCTTTGCTGGTGAGCCTTCTGATCCTAATGGGCATCTCATGTCGGTTGAGTTGAGTTTTGAAATGGAACAGATCATCAGTTTTGAAGAGCTGTTGCCCATCAGAGGCTGGAACTCCAACTCAGTCTGGATAAGTCAAGGAAATACAGTACTTTGTTTACGACATGGTTCACTGTTGACCTAACATCATTCTTTTCTTCCTCACTGTAATTCTATATATGAGTTATTTTAATCAACTTGTCACACTTACACCTACACAAGGACCGAATTGAATGATACAACATTCTGAAGATGACATGACTGACAGCTCATTTTCATAAACTAAGTAAGGGCTGATTTTTATTCCCGCAATGTCATATATGAGTGAAAAGCCACATTACTGCAAATGAGTGGAATAATACTCACTACAGTATTTCTTGGTCCATGGATTGCAAAATCAAGGCAAAACTTCTGTCACCAGGCCACCTCTGCCTTTCAGTTATGTCAATGTGGGAGTCTAAATGCAGTTCTTCATTACTGTCCTAGAGCTCAAGGCCTAGTGGAATGTGTGTTCTCCACGAACAATGTGTGATGAGAATTCATAGCGATCCTGGCTTCTGTAGCCACAGATGTTGCACTCGAATGGGTCTCTGAAACCATGACAACCCATATGAATGGTGTACATGACATGGTCTAGAAACAGCACCCGGCAGTGCTCACAGTTGAAAGCCCTAATCTGCTCACCCTGTCCACTGAAGACCCTGTATACCTCTTTAGAGGTACCAGATAAAACCTTTTGTGCTTCCAGAGCCTTGGGTTCCTCCTTCATGTAGGCCGGACTTTGCTTGTTTTGAGGAGTTAAGGCTGGAATACTAGAGTATGGACGACCACTTTGATCATCATGGCTACTTTCTGTGTCAGTCGAATCTAAACAGCTATTGCTAGGAGAAACGCCACTCTCTGTTGGCTGATTCTTTGATCTTATAAGAGAGATGGGGCCATCCATTGCATTTTCATGGCTTTCTGGTACTTCCCTGCTGTTTGGCCTTTCAAGCCTGCTCGGATGGTAGACCTGAGAGTAGACTGAATTCATAATTGGGACTGCTTCTGTCATTGTGCTGGGCTGATGCTGTATCAGCGGTCTCAGAGATTCAGCGCCAAGATATGTAATTGCATTGTTGATGGCTTGATCCATCATGTGTGAATGCATGAAATCAGGCTCCTTCTCGTAATTCAAGCGCATGTTGAAACCAAGTTCTGGATTAGACAAACGCATGAGCTTTTCACCTGGAACAAAACATTGCAAATCAGTGTGCCAGTTTTTCAATATGACAAAAGCAGTCATTTAGTTAGATTGCTTTCATATATTCTACTATAGAGCAACATTAAATAATTAATGGTGTGCCCATTGAAGAATTAATCTATATGGAAATATTTGCACTTTTAAGACTAGAAATTACAAGCAGGCGATGAGACCATGATAATCTTGCATCCTAATCAAAGACACTCTTATTTAGATAAATATAAGAGAAATGCCAAACATTGGCAACTCTAATATATGATTCAAATTAATCATTCGAGGGGAGGCAGTAAGAATACTTGTAAAGTAGCGATTGAGTACCACAGTAGTTTAGCACAATGTCCTTTCATCTCTGGGGCTTAGGTGTTTATACAAATCCAATTCATGGGATGAAAGATTCCTTTGCTCTCTCTCTATGCAAAATTATCTTGAGAAATTTCAACCCAATTCCCACTGAGTTTGGACCCAAACCACAGTAGAACAAGTGCTCATCTAAGGTTGAGCTGAGGTATATTATTGTTGCGGATTTTGTACCCACAGTTTACTGTACAGTAAAAGTTATCTCTACCTAGCTTAGAGGGCTTGACACTGTACTTTATTGTTAATAAAATATAATCAAGCATTATACTTACATTTGACTTTAAAAAGTACCATACAGTTCATAAAATTAATTACATTTAAGTGATTGCTGTTATGTAGGTAAACAGTGCAGCGAATCATGAAGGTAACAACGTTCAAATATCAATGAGGTGATTGACTCACTGATTTGTTTTAAACTGAATTTTGGGTGTATGGAAAACATTGGCCTATACAGTACTTTGGGACTTTTAACTTTGACTTGAACCACTAACACAAATCTTACCAATAAATTTTTGAGGAGTAGAGCTTTTGCGTTTTCCCACATTGCTAACCAGTCGTTCTATGACAGCAGGTCTCTCAAAAGATATCAGACGATTGTTGTCTACCATTGGTTCCTGCTCCTTGTACTCATCTGCAACAAAGAACAACAATGAATACATTGAAAATATGAACATATTGTCCTATGCATTTTGTATAAATGTCTCTTTGCTGTTAAACAGGTCTTTCGTATTACAGCATAACACTGATTAAATATTTATTTTATAATGAATGTGATTCATTAAAATAGCATGATGCAACGTACATTATCTTAAAACCTAAGATCTTTTACTAGTTGGTTAAGTGTTCTAACGAAACACTTGCCTAAAATTTTTTTTATTTTAAATAGTTGTCAAGATTGCAATTCTAGTATTTCTCTGTAACAGTATTGTTAACCTACCAACCACAAATATACAGTAATTAAAAATAATTTGAATAACAAATATACAGATTTTAATCAGTTTACAAAAATGGTGTGGTTTGCATTGCTGAATTGAACCTCCAAATCTAACTAGTTTTGACAGATATTTTTGGAATAAACTTAAGACTAAATTATTACTTCTCTCTCCCTATAAAATAAAAATATTATTTTAGAGAACTGAATGAATCCTAAATTTGTAGGTTGAAATGTCATGTTATTCTTTACAATTTGTATCCAATTTCCACAATCATTCCTGAAATTATACTCCAGTGCCTATCTGACATAGAAAGGATAAAGTACTCAATCATTTTGCTTCCTTGTGAAACTTGATATCTGTTTTAAATTTCCTTGTCTTTCACTATGCAGTATTTTTCAGAATGAAAAAGTCATGCAAATAACACTGTTGATCTCTGCAAAACTGAAATAATTTGTATCTATTCTGGTAATTTAATTCTGCATTCCATGTTGACAAAAATAAGCTAAAATAAAACAGTACTTTGTATCCAAGCATGATTCAAAACATTGAGCTCTATTACATTGTTCATACTGTTTAGTAGTAACAATCTAACAAGAATTGAACAGTAATGAAAATAAATATTAAATGGAGGAGGGAATAACATCAGAAAACCTATCCTTGTTACCTTGAGTAAGCATTATATCTGGAAAACAACTTTGAAGCAAGCTGCAGTGCACAACTGCCTCTAATTGCTTCCTTTGCCAGAGGCTATTTAGAGATGTTTCATTTTTAAACACACTATCATTATATTTACAGGGGTGACATTTTTGTCTGCAGGTTTGAAGAAATCAAAATACTTGAGTATCTGTGCAAAAATGTGTCCCTTCAAAGGGAAAAAGATGCAAGAGAATAAGTTGCTACATTAACTCTTTCTTCAGAGTGAAACATACATAAACCATGAGCACCACACATATATTTGCCTCACTGTTAAGCATGTTATGGAGCACGCTATTTCATTAAAATTAATAATTGGCATTTTAGATGAAGTTGGTTATTTTCATTTATGTATCATGGAATTATCATGGACACCCATGATAATTCTACCCAAGGTAGAAACAGGGTTCTCACAATCTCCTTACTGGGTTCTTCTCCTTACACTGCTTTTAGAGTGTCTCTCCCCTCTGCCAGCACAGATCTCCAAACCGGCAGGTAGGCAAATGGAACTGGATTCTCCCCCACAGTTCTAAATGTAAATGTCACTTTGTGAGTCAGATGGTTGTAAGCCCACCCAAGGGTGAATATGGGTCAGGTGGCATATACTGCAACTGATGGGGGATGTCCCTAGTTACAGACTTTGTTTTAAAAAAAACATTGAGAGTCTGACTAAAGAGCAAAGGGCACACGGAATAAGATGCCACCAAGATTGAAAAGAGGACCAAAGAAAACAAGACAAGTGAAAATGATATACATTTTTATGGATCTATGGTTTCTATTCCAATATGAATTGGTGACACTAAACTCAGATTATAATAAACTGCAGTTTGAAGAAGGGAAGAGAAATCTCGAGTTTCACAGTCTTGAACGTCTGGGAAAGAATGCTATTGAGCTTGGATGAGAAATACTGAAACTCATTATTCTAATGTCAGTCAGATTGGGGCAATCTGCTACGAATCAAATTGTTATAAGAACATTATATTAACCGACAATAATAAAAATATAAAGTGAGCTTCTGAGAACAGCTCCTAATATTCTTGATAGTTTTATCAAGAACACTGCATTGAAATAACCAGATTATTTTAAGTTAACATTGAACTGCAGGTTTGCAGTCCCTCATAAAGAGGATTTCTGACCTTGACATGTCAGACACGAAAAGGCTAAGTGGCTCCTGACAGTCAGAGACAGACAAATCTGGTTGTGAGTCACCTAGTTACCCTTTTGGCCCTTCTATCAGATATCTTGAGAGCAGTCATAATAGATGCCTGAAAGGATTTTATCTGTCTCTTTGTTTCTGTCAAAAACACATGTGGCATAGAAGAATCAATAGGAAAATTAAAAACATATTGAAAATAGTGAGATGGAAGAAATTAAAGGATAGCTTTGAGCCAGACTTCATATTGTGTATGAGATGAAATGGGTCATGAATTGCTATATGACCATGTCTCATTTAGGGGAAATGAAGGTAGAAGAGATTTTGCACTGGAAGCTAGTTCATAATTATATCTATAAGCAGATTATGAATAATGTTTGTATTATTATATTTTTCTGGCTGGGTTAAGAATTTGTAATGAGGATTTCTTAGGAAAATTCTTTTTATTGTGGTTGGTTTAGTACATGAGTAACTTGATCCAAATGAAACTTAAGAGACAAGTTTATCTCTATCTGCTTTTGAATTTCCATTCATATTGTGTGTTCCTCTTATTAGTTTCCATTTAGTAGGTACAATACCAGTAAAAAGATTTCAAGCTTTTACTATCAACATGAACTTTTTCCACATGGATAAAAGTCATCGAAAGTGATCCATTTTAACATTTTGTTGCTTTTCCCTGAATATGTCAAACACTGAATTTCTCTCTTGTGTTAGGAGAATGCACTAATAGGAAAGTCTTAAAGTGTATTAGTCAGTGTTTTCACATTAATATTCAATCATAAAACTATGTGTAGTAGGAAAAACAGTATCTGAAGTAACACTATGCCCACGACAAGCTGCCTCTGTTTTACTATTTCCTTTTATTAGTGGTAGTTTTCATAATAAAGCTACTCATTCAGTTGGCGGTATTTCTGAGTATTACAGAAAGTATACTTAGTAATATCTAAAACTGTACACTATCAAGATAGAAAAGATAGAGCTTCAATGAAAAAACATTGAGGAGTCACTACAAACTGGAACTCCTTGACGTCATTTCACCCACCCTGGTGATTCATGGGTTGTGCGGCCTCCATGCCCGTGTTGTGCAGATAGTTGTGACAGCGCTCTTTGTGCTCCTCCAGGGAACTACGCTGTTTGTAGCTTCTACCGCAATAGTTGCACTTGTGAGGCTTGCCCACTGTGGAAGGAATTGGACTCAAGTTACATCATCGTTATTTATACAAATCATTTTCAACAAGAACTAAAGTGTTTAAGAGGAAATTATACGACCAGAAGTTTCACACGGTGTCATTCAAAGGCAATGCGTTAAACGCATTCTTTACTTAACAGCAAATTATGTATGTGTATCATGGTAATCAAACGCAATGGGAAAACCACCAGAAATGAAATGCTGTAATTTGTCAACACCAAGAACTTTCTCGATCAACTTTATTCATATTTTAGTAATTATTTTTTGTATTTCATGCTTCTGAATAAAATAAAATAAAATAAAAATGCAGTGGCTCAATTACAGACATAACAATTGCAGTATCAGCAATTTCCACTGACTGCTTGTCAGACTTCAGACCACTTTGTTTTCATGGTAATGATCCTGGATTGGTAGCTTATTACTCTGTGCAATCATATGGATCCAACATTTTTTAAAACTACTTCAGGATAGTTGAAGTGTGGAACAAATTGTATAATGGAATATGTGACCTAAACATATAAATAAGACCTGAAAGTCTAGTTAGTCACTTGTGAAATAGTGGAATATACTTGAAATGATTGATAAGATCAGATGTTCAGAATCAGTGATTCTTTAAACAATTAATATTCTCCACACCTATTTAAAATGCATTTTTTTTCTGCATCAATTGATGCAGTGAGATTTCTGGGGTTAATGCACTTGGGTTCACTTCTTTGGTTGACAGAATGACTTATGGGTACGCAGCCATATCAGGGACAAACCCAGTTTCTGGAATGCTTACCTTGTGGTTCTCGAGGTTTGCATAGCAGTTACTATATTTCTTAATCACAGTTTGCAAAAGTTTATTACTTGATAGGCACTTAAAAAATGTTTTGTGCCTGTGTTCTTGGTATTTTGTTTATTTACTCCACTAAAATGCTACTGTTCATATTTTCTGAAGAAATCAATAAGTATTTTCCAATACAATGTGACTGTGTAAAACTCCAGTAATCCTTCTTTCATAGTCTCATGTTAGAGTGTTGTCATACTCGGAAGAAGGGATGCATCATAAGATACCTACAGCCCAAATTGTAGGATATCATCACAGTATACTTACTTATAGAGGACAGCAAGAATTATTTTGATCTCAACCTTTATCCTCACTTGATACCTTTTTATCATGACTCAATCAGGAAAATCTGAAGGTTGAAGATCTACCTGGGTATCATCAGTACTGTTGTATTAGTGCAGGCCATCTCCCCCTTCTTCACAAACACACAGACCACAGACACACACACAGACTAGATTTAGATATGAATGCTTTTAGAGAGCTCAAAACTCCAGTTTCAGATCCATCAGGCTGTCCTTTAGGAACATTTGCACTTCTGAAAACTATAGAAACAATTTGATGACATCAAGAAACTCATAAAGGAAAGGCATATGTGAAGAAGTTTGATGGAATATAACTGTGCTTTCCCATTGGTTTTAGAATATGAACGAGTTTCTTTTCACACCAAACAGATGTGTCTAAATTTGTGATCAAATGATCACCTCCTCATTCATTATTTCCTACATGTCCTATAAGAGTTAAATTCTACAATTACTGACATTAGATCCCTAATTAACTGCAGGTCATCTCAGCACTATACAATGCTTCTGACCTATTATAGTGTACAAGGCTCTGAAGTGATGTCAACTTAAAGGAAAATTGCCATATTGCCACACCCAAGGTACTGGTACACAGCTAAAGAAGACTGGTGTTAATTTGACCTTCAACATTATCATTAGTGGTTACCTTTTTATATACAGTATGTATTTTAAAATGGATTTAGTTTACAAATTACAGATTGTCCTCTCAAGGGGGATTGTCTGTATCTTATAAGAATGAGACTCTAAGCGTGAGTGATGAAAGGCTGGCAGTGGTGGGTGTTAACGAAAGATCAACTGATACAGAGAAGAGTGAGTTGAGTTTACAACTTCTGATACATTTAATTCATAATCTGTACAACTAAGAATCCACTTTATGAATTTGGATATTACATTAGAATTATTCTGCTTATTTAATCATTTGGCAAGACACTGAATATTAGTGCACTGCACATTATGAATTTAAACACTGCACATGGTTTCAACTAAACAGGACTTAGGGATTTTTATGTAGCTATTAAAACTGGGGTAAATGAGTATAGAGGAGTACAGGAATCAGGTGTTTTCACCTTGATATTACTATCTTGCAAACATAGTTTTATTACAATATGTGATGTTCTTTTTTTGGAAGAGAGATGGGTGGAATAAAGAGTATTTTTGGGGCTGAGCGAGCTTAGTCTTTTGCATACTTTATATCTGTATAAAAGTTTCTAAATTACTACAACATCTGCAAATAGATATAATGTTTATCTACTGCAATTATGTATGAAGGTCTTGGCATCTTCCAAGGAAGCATTTTATGAGTGAAATTTAGGATTATGAGCCACTAATGATCTACCGCCACTTTGTTTTGCAAAAGCAAGATTATTAGAGATAATAAATATAATAAGAAAACCAAACCTAGTGCTTTCCTAATTTACACTACAAGCTTAAGATCAGAGACTAGTTATGTTTTGATCTGCAACAACAGTTTCTTCAGAAATGTATCCCAACTCTTAGAATAGTCTTCTGCACCTTCAGAAATGCCTTCAGGAGTTCAGCAGGAATTTTCCAGGTTTAGCTTTTTCCTTAAATTGGCCATGTTTATTTTGGCGTTCTCTGTTTTTTCACTTCCTCTAAGAAAGCCTGAGTGACCAACGCCTGGAGAGATATGTAAATGTATATTGGGAGGTACAATGTGCTCACTCTCCAGAGAGCAGACTTGATGAGCCTCTTGGTCTTATTTTCCACTCTATCTTGTGTGTCTGTGTGTGGTGTATGTATGTACCTTCTGGCAGGATGACTGCTGAGAAAGAGGGCTGGATGAATGTTGTTCTCTTGCCCTTTACCCAGGGAGGAAAAGGGAGAAAATTAAATTTTAAAATAAATTCAGTCTGGCACAGTGGTAGCACTCTTGACTCTGAGCTAGAAGTTTGTGAATTTAAGCCCCACGTTGGGACTTTGAATCACATCGTCTAAGATGATACTCCAATGCAATGCTTGTGGGGAGCTGCATTATCGGAGGTGCCTTCTTTTGGATGAAACGTTAAAGAGAGTGCCAACTACCTGTTGAAGTGGGCATTAAAAATCACATGGCACTATTCAAAAAGAGAAAGGAGTTTCTTGGCCAGGAAATCTCCCAAATTTATGCTACTAATTTATGATATTCCAACGTTGTTTGTGGGACACTGCTGTGCACAAACTGGCTGCTGGGTTTCGCCCACAAAATACATAGTCAATGTGCTTTACAGTATATCCTGTGAAGCACTTTGACACATCTCGACGATGTGAGAAGACGCTCTATCAAATGCAAGGATGATTATTATTACTATTATTATTATCAATACACAAGGCATTCCTGTCTATGGTTCAATAACTGGGTAGAGTATGGCAGTAATGTGTTTTATGGAGGTTTGTTCACTCATGGAAAAACCTTCATAAGTCACCCACACAGGTTGCAGTTATGATTTACGGGCCAATGCCAACTACATAAATGCTGCCTGAACATAGCGTCATAAGTGTGCTATCCTATAGCCTCTATTTTTCAATTAACTGAATTGAAAAATAAAGGATACAGGATAGCACACTCATGATACTAGTAATTGGGACGTCCTCCCTACGTGAAAGGCGCTATACAAAAGTAATTTTGTATTGTATGGTATAAATTAGCCTAATTCAAGAGCGTTCAGAACATAAGCAAGTTATGTAAAAAGTCTTCTCGGCCTATAAACATCATTCCCTCTACAGTCCACATAGAATCTACCCTAGCACTCATTCTATGTCCTTGGGGAAAACTCTCTACAATGGTTCCTTCAAGCCAAAAGGCAATCAAACAAGACTTCCATAATATTCTTCTGTCCCACTATTTAAATTTGGCACCTCCAATATTCAAACCTAAACCAGATGACAAAATGAGTAGGCTTGTGACTCACTTTTCCAAACCTATACCACTCCTCACCCAGAAAAAAAATCATTGCTCTCTTCCCATTTAAGAGCTTCCCAGAAAAGGAAGATTAAATCAATCCGTATTCACAGCCTTTTATTACGAGCTGACAGGTGAGCAATATGTACTGTACTTACAAGTTGCTGCAGTTAAATATCAAAAGCAAGCTGCTTAAAAAAAAAGCACGTTGCTTTCTCCTTCTTTCTCCTGCACTTGTGTTCATCAGCTGAGCCGACAGCAACAAAGTTTGCAGATGTGAAGACGGTTGCTAATCTTAGTGGTTTGGATGTAAACAGTTTTAAGTATTTCAGCTCACCACGATCTGTGTTTTCTCTGATCTCTTTACTTTTGTTCTATTTTTCTTCACTCTTTCTATCTCAACTGAAGTACTTTTGAGGCAGGCGATTTTTTTGAAATAAATAACATTTAAAAATGCACTAAGAACTTGTCTCTTGCTTTTTAGCATTTCCTTCACAAAGCCTATCAACCGCTTTACCCAATTTTGTTATTGTTCTTTTTAAGGCACAAAGGATGTAGTAGCTACTGCAATGAGTAGCACATGCAGAGGTGTAATGGAGAAGGTCAACGCTATTTATGTCCAGTTAGTTACACTGTTTCTACTGAAAATTAAAAAATCAATACCAATCTTATGTAATTGTATAAAGTTCCACTTTACAGGACTCAACCTCTCATAAGGAGATACTGGTTAAAATAGACTATTATTTTATGCTGTGGTTATACTGCCAGAACAAAGCCCTTCAAAATAATAATCCTTACATTTGATATAGCGCTTTTCACGTCTTCTAGACATCTCAAAGCTCTTCACAGAATATACTGTAAAGTGAATTGACTGTATATTTGTGGGTGAATTGCACACAGCAGTGTCCCAAAAACAATCGTGGATTGAAATGAACAATTTATTATTGTTCTTTTTTTTTGAGGGTTTATTATCAGGCGCGTGGAGTAAGGAAACTTGCTGAAGGTTTTGGCCTGCACTGGAATCAAACCCAGGTCTCTTGCTTGTGAGGCGAGTGCTCTAAACTCTGAGCTACAGAACTTTCCTTCTAAGGAGCATACAAATGTGGAGTGGGAAACTAGATTTATATTTCCTGCCTCACATCAACATGAACCAGGCCCTAAGTGTGGATATTCTGTGTCGAAAACAACACTTAATAACTTTAATAAACAGTCCATTTAAAGGTCTTCGGTTGACTAGAAAGATTTTAACAAGTTTGCAGGAGTGAGCCCAATGTGTTTCACACTTGCCATACATATACGTATGTGTATGTGGGTGTCAATTGTACTATTTCTGACATCCCTTTCCTACAGGTGGTTCAAACAACGAGGCTTCAGCATGATTCAGGCTGCCTGAGCTCCCATTGATAACAAATTGCCACAATTTTGCCACAAATTTATCCCAAAGATGCAGAATAAAAGTATATTTATGTATGGCAAATGATTATAAAGCAGAATAAAACTTGTTCCCAAACTGGATTATTTGAACAGCGAACAAGCTGCTGCTTTGCAGTTTTCATGAATACTCATTCTTAATTTCTTATTATGTAGACATGCTACAGTGGATGGGATGGAGAGATGGAAATTATAAGTACATTGGAGTGTTATTGAAGCACATTCACTGAAATAACATGTTATCTGCATAGCTGATAAACTGTGGCAATAATTGAATCCTCTACTCCCTGATTCTATGCACTCTACATACCAGCACCGCAATTAGCAAACTAAAGGTGACAAAATCACGGTGGTCTGGTAGTGATACCAAATTTTTGTTATTTTTCTCTTCCAGACAAGTGCACCTCCAAAAAATGGTACAATGAATATCTAACAGCTCATAAGATCAAATAAACAAGCAAATAATAATGTTCAGATCTTAAACAGCACTCCGCCAGTCCCTACCCCCTCCCTGCACATGATTTTTTTTCCAAGCTGCTCAAAATTTTGACCTGCAATGTTGCAAGGTGCCTGAATAGTTCCTAAAAAAGGTTTCCACAAATAGTCAGATGCAAATTAAGTTGAATCAACCATAATATTAGGGACTTTTTTTTAATGGAACTGTCATTTGAAAAGAGGAACTCTGAACACAAAAAATTACAAAGTTGCTGCTTGACAGGTGCAAAGCCATCCAACGGTTTTGTTACCACAGGTTGTAACATTGCAAATAACAGTACCATATCCATCTACATATATGGTACTGATTTCTCAAGATATTCTTGTAATGTCCCTGAAGATGCCAATGGGACATCATGTGCATCATCTATTAAACCCATGATACCAAGGGATGACCAGAAACTTTGAGCGCAAAGCTTGAATTCTAAGGAGGGTACTACCATCTATTTACATTTTTAGAAATGACTTTTCGAAGGTTAGTATTATTCCTTTGCTGGAGCTCAGTCCAACTTTAGAGGTGATCTAACAACTGCACGCCTATATTTTGCCAGTTCATAGCCACCAGACTTTTGCATTCATAAAAGATCAAATGATAACACTTTCATATCTAGAACTGAAAACATGCACTCAGCTCTGCCATACATATTGACACCTGTGCCTTTGCCAACACGCTCAGCTAGCTCCACCCAATGCATTACCAACTCAGTTTATCTGCATTACAACTTAGGTCAGCATTAGCCTAACACCATTTAACCTCAAGATTGTTGCCCACACACAATTTAGCTAACATCCAGATATCTATATACATACAGAACTAAATTTAAACGTAAAATTAGCAGCCCACGCGTATGTTTTACCCTTCGAACTGAGGTTCAGTGCCTGTCAGTCTTTTGAAGAGATCAGAAAGGTCAGAGAGAATTCTGTGAGAGTTCTTAAGTGCAGAAGGTAAAAATTGCTGCAAAAACCTCCACCGTATATATATATATTAAATATGGCTGTTTGACTGCATTTTCAAAGCTGTAATCTCTCATCAGGATTCAAGCTTTGTGATCATGGTTTATGGTCATCCACTGGTATCATTGCTCACTACTGAATTGAGAACAAAAGCATTAAACATACTGACTGATGCTCAAATCAAGCTACAAATAATGGCCAGTTATAACTATCTAAACACTTGAGTTATACATTCAGTGCTAGTTCTATATGGTAAAATATATTTTTCATATTTAGTTTCTTACATGGACAATTAAGAATGGTATAATAATCCTTGCATTTGATTCAGTATCTAGTAAAGGGAAATGTCTCAGGATTCTTCATAATAATTACTAGCAAATGCATTTGACTTTTTATAGTAAACACAACAAAAATAAAACTAGCATTTATAGAGCTCCTTGGAGATTGCTGAACAATGATGTAAAACATCATAGTCAAATTGATAACAGTAAGGTCTGACCAACAGCCATGAGAGAAATTACCAATTTATCTGTTGTGTTATTGGCTAGGATATAAGAAGATTCTTCTCCTTTTTTCAAGTTGTGAAACTTCCACCCGAAGAAGCACACGGGGAGGGAGAGATTAGCGCTATATCATATACATGAATAATTATTATTAGATATGAGATTTTGTGACTTAAAACAACACATCTTGGCTCGATTCCTTATGAAATTTCCATCCCCTGTTATTCAATTGTTGAAAAAGAGATACCTTTTCTTAAAAAAACTTATCCAAATAAACTATCCAAATAAGTTATATAGCCTTTGAAGTATGTAACCAATAAATCACTCAGTGACACTGTTAAATTACAGGAGCAAAATTTTACTGTAATTGCTTCTAGTGTATATTTGTCCTGCTTTATTGAGCAACGGTTTGTTAATAATAATAATATTTGCATTTGATATAGCGCCTTATCACGTCTCAATTTATAATGTAAATTGAATTGACTGTATATTTTGTGAGCATTTAGCCATACATCTTAAGATGCACAGAATATCAAGTATGTATTGAAATATCTTAGCTCTCTATTGTTTAGACACAGGAAATGTCAAGTACCGGCAATAGAAAAATATTAAACATTGTTACTCATGCTGCTCATTTGGGAGTTCTTTTTGCAGCAGGTAGTTCCGACAATGTGAGTTCTTTACATATTGTTTCACTTTCTTACTTTTTAGTTCAAAATTGGTCTAATTCCGTTATTCTGGGCAGATTTCACAGAATATTAAACTTCACAGAAATATCGCTTATGCAACTGGAGGTTTGTTTCATATGGATATGTTTTGTGATTTTGTGACATGATTTGTGCTAATAAGTCAATGAAATTCTGAGGATTTGTAAATCTTTAACTAAGTTAAAACTCTGGAATGACCAAAGATAGGTGGCAAAGCTACTATCAGGTAAATTAATTTCAACTCACCAGAATGTGTCCTGAGGTGACCTGTCAGTGCATCTCGTCGTCTGCAGGCATAACTGCAGAAAGGGCATTTAAAGGGCTTCTCGCCTGTATGCAGCTTGACATGCCTCAGGAGGTTTCCTTTTTGGGTAAATGAAGCACCACATTGGTTACAGTGGAAGGGACGTTCACCTATAACACACAAAATCAAAAGAGCGCACCTGTGATCAAAATTAGTTTGCAAAGAGATCACCTGCTGAAAATATAGTATTACCAAGATACACATGCTAACATCTCAGTATTATTGAAAACAAATTCAATACCTTCCGGGCTCTTAAATACAAAATCTTACCATCAAAGCTCTATAAAATTAATTATTAATGAAGAAAAGCAGGAATTATTGAAACTATATGATGACTATGCGTGTATTAAAGAAAGATACCTATTTTGTTCTGTTTCCCCCTTCCTCTGAATGTTAAATGATATTTTTAATGCTCATTGGATTCTCCCTCTCCCAACCAGATTCAGTTCCCTCAGGTTCCCTGCTTTGTGTTCCTATGCAATGGCACTCCAGTAACTGGAGCTACTGAGGTGCTTAAGAGTGGAATGAGGTAATATGGCCTTCATAATTGTTCACTGTGCAGGAAAGCATTGTTCCTACTTGGTTCTACTGGCCCAGCAGAGACCTATTTTTCTCTTTGTGGTCAATCAAAGATTAGATTGTGTCTCGCCATTAATTCAGCATGTTGAAACATCAACACACAGCTCTGGGCTGTTAAAATGCCCCATTTTCTAGAGGGAAAGTGTTTTTAGTGAGAACATTTGAAATTCCCCACCATCGCAATGTCTGGACTTGTAGAGCCTACAGTCTTAACATGGGACCTTCTTCTGTTTATTTTAAATGTATTATGTAATTTCATCGGTATCAATGGTAGTTTGTGACAGTTTACTGAAGCGAAATTAAAAATGTCAGTTCATTAGCTGAATTATTGCTTCAGCAGTAGATCTCCAGAAGATATTTAAAATGTAAGAGAAAATTCATAGAATAAATAGAACAGTACCAACAATGGAGGTGCATTACTGGCTTGTGAGTACTATTTTTTGCCTTACACACTTGTGAAGCAGCCTTCATAATGTCCGGTACTCAGTGCCATATCCTAAAGTTGCTGTCAGAGTTGTAATCATGTTTCATTCTTTTTGTACTGAGTTTGTCTCACGAAGAACAGTACTGTGAGGACTGAAAAATACCTTGGAAATGTGAAGGTTTATTTGGAATGTTGAATGAAATTTTAGGGAATTTTGCAGAGAAGTAGATCCTAGTCCCAGTTATACTTCTTTGGTTCTGATAAAATTAAGTGTTTGTTTGATGAGCCTATATTTTTCTTACTACTATGTTTTCTAAACAAAGTATATCATTGAACACGTATCCTTCCAAACTAAAAATAATACTGCCAAAGCATTCACTGCTTAAATTAATATATACGTACACAAAGATTAGTTAATTGGACTCAATGGTTCACTGAAAAGGAAACCACAAATGGCACTGGGCAAAGGCCAAAGGTAACTCTGATAACGTAGGAGTAAGACAACTGTTGTTTTATTATGTAGGGATTTACAATAGAGGACAACAGCCTACTGTAATGTGATGCAATCATAAGACAATTGGTGAGTTCAGTGTGGAAGTGGGCTGGCCTGTGTGCAGACTGGGGAGCTATACAAAACAGAGCATATGGTTTTGTTGTGCGTTATTGCATGGATCTCCAAGTTACTTTACACATTTTTTAAAGTGAAGTCGTGAAATAGACTGAGACAGCAGCCAATGATCAAAATTTCCCCAATTTTCTCAAGTTTCAGTAAATTTCCCAAATTCCTGATAATATAGCAAAACCATCGAGAATCTCACCTCTTTGAGTGGTGTCATTTTCTTTGATATGAACAGTTTAAAATATTGTTTCTTATTTTTTTCTATAATTATTTTCTTTATTGTTCCTTCTATAAATACTGTTCTTACTTATTTTCTCTATTAACATCACCTAAACAGAGAAAAAAAACTGAAAAGTCAGAAACTTAAAAAAAGTCCTGCTTTGAGGTTCATGCACACTAGGAACACCTGCAAACAATACATTTCCCTCAAAGAGCATGTCAGACAAACCACAAAAATGCTCATGTTAGATAGAAACCTTTTGCTTATCGCTGATCCTCAACACAAAAAATACACATGTACAAGTTTTGAAAGAAAGTATTTCTGTGTAATAACCTTTACCCCAATTGGTGTGTAGGGAAACAATTAAACAAAAATGCTGGGCCCAATTTTGGGTTGAACATATACCAATTCAAAGGGCTTTGAGTTTTTTGTATCCCTCCAATTACAGCACCATGTGTGGCCCATGAAGCTGCATAAAAGAAATCCATCAGTCACACTAAAGTATCCTTTAGGAGGTGTACAATATTAGCCTCTAAATTTCCCCCACAGTTTTGGAAAGCTTCCTGGCTTTATTTTACATTAAATGTACCGTACATTTAATACGGTACTTGCACTCTCCATCAGCAGCAGAGCTTCGATCAGCAACTCAGTGGGTATGGGCATCAAATATGTTTCCTTAGTACTTTAGCAATGCACTTTGGTACTTATAAATGGTTGACAACTAGAAAACTCAGAATCTGGCACGCTTTGCATGCTGTATACACAGTTGGTTAAATAAAGTGTATCTAACAGATGAAACATTCTTCCAACCATTAATTATAGCAACCTTGAAGATGTGAGCTCATAATAAGAAAATTTAATTATAAGAAGTTTGTCAAAGTCACTAAAGAAAGTGCAATATAACCCATAAATGTTTCTAATTTACGCTAATTGATCTTGAATGAAAAAAGTAATTGATATCTACAATATACATTCAAATCTAATTACACCTCCTTTTGAAAAACGAAAATGTTATCGTTGTCCTATTAACCTCAAGTTTCACATATTGCACCAGGACTGGAAGATTTAAAAGGATTATTATTTGTCTTGTTGAGGGCAAACAATGAATAAACAGATATTAATGTGAAAGCTCTTATGAAAATATAAAAGGAATTCATACAACAGAGTTGGTGTGGGTTAAGGTTTTGGAATCAAGCAACAGTAAAGCTACAGGGCACATTATTAATAGCAAGTGGTCACTATTTTACTCATCTTTAAACCATTTCTAAATGATTTGCAGATGAGCCCGATGCTACAATGTTAAGGCATTTCCCCCTCAAATAAGTGATCAGACTTCAAATTAGACTTCCTTAGAAGAAAAGTTGATTCTGACATGCCAACTAAGGGAGAAAATTTGGTGGCATTGAAGGGAGATGACTATGGGCTGGAGAAGAAAGGGGAGAAAGTAAGGGAAACATTACAAAGTTTTAAAAAAATTAAACGTTTATTATTATAAAATAATGTTTCCCTTTGTATAGGATGTAGTTGTAATTTAAAATTTATATATTTTGGTAAGGCATAGATATGTTATTCTAAGCAGTGTAAATACATTTTTATCATGGTCAATTACAGTAATATATCACAGAAGTAACAATAGTGATGAAATTGTGATGACCATAAAGCTGTAATAAGTAATTTAATGCTTGCAATATATCATTTCTGATGTAGGAAGGCTAAATTGTATTGTACGTGTGTGGCTGCTCCAATGTATGCTTCACTACAATAATATTTTATATATAGTACGAAATAAATAAAGGCAACATTTCTTCCTCAGATCAATAGCCATTATGAGCAGCATGAACTTTAACACTTTAGCCACAGTATTTTTTCTTTGAAGTGGACTATTGCTATTATTAGACACAAAGTTTATCTAAGATGTTATTTCAGTTTGAAACATACTTTTGTAAAATATAAATAATATGATGTTACTGAGTAAATTGTTGAATACAGTACACAAACCCCTCCCTAACCCTTAAAACTGTTAAATTAAAACAATAGATATTCCTTATAAAGATGTGAGCCACCCATGAAATATTAAAATACATTTTCAAACAATCTAAATGTGCTAGAACGACAATGAACTGAATAATGCAGTCTTTAACGATTGATCCTAAACACCTTTTTATATTTTACTAATAGACGTTTTCCACTTTTTAAAAACAACATGCGAGGTAGACGTTCTGGATTTTACGATGACTTTCAGATAAGAACTAATACTACAGTGATTTCAGGTCAGCAAAATACAGTTTGGCTAGTGATACTTAATCCCATCATCAGCAGTTTGCTTTGACTTGATTGAGTCAGTGTGCAAGCAGCAGCCATTCAACTTCAAAATGTATTTACTTGCAATTTGTATAATTTACAAGACCACACTGGGGTTTTTTTTAAGCTTAGATATTGGAAAAAAGTATCTAAGGCTAAAAGTGGACCACAACTTTGGTTCTTTTCGAGGTACACATTTCTTATCTAGTGTACGATCAACTTCTTCTTTTAGCTGCTTACCAGTGTGGCTCCGTTTATGTACCATTAGAACATTGGGCCCAATGCAAACCATCCCACAGATGTCACACTTCAGTTTACCATTCGGAAGTCGTATCCCTCCATCAGCTTGTATGTCCTGCCCCTGGTTGGTTTCAGTTATTCCATTGCTTTCGACTGCAGATTCCTCCATAGCGCTTATTTCTTTTCTTCTGATCCCCACTTCCTGGTTATGTACTCTTCCGTCATCTTCATCACTGTGCATCTCTATCTTGATGGGGTTTGCTGGAAGTAAAAAAAAATATGCAGTATTTTTTAAAAAATGGTGACTGAACTGCAAACTGCTCAAAGCCCATGAGAAAGCCACCTTCTGCTTTTCTTACCCAGTACTTCCCCCTGTCCATCCAGTGTCCTCACTGAAGCATATCCAATTCATAAATCCATAGTACTGGAAATAGGCTAACCAAAAACTAAAGACTTTTAATGGATTTTACACACATACACACATTACTGACGTTAGGAAACTGGCAATATATACAGGCACAAAAGCTAAACTGTGTATTGTATGCGTTTTTAACCACTAGGTAGTTATCTATTATTTCTGGTGTGTCACTTAGACAGTGCTAGCCATTTGTTTTTGTAGATTTTGCGGTGTGCAGTTTCCTGCACCCACCGTCTGGGACAGAACTTGGTGCATGTCTCAGCGGAATGCGATTTCTGGAGTAATGTTCTAAAAACTTGCAACAGCGCACGCAGCCAGCCCATTTCCCCCTTATACATTGATAAAGATCTTTGGCTCATCCCACTAAAAAAAACACAGCACTTGTTTTTTCATTACTTTATCTTTAAAAAATTTCTCATTTGATTTTGAAAATGCATTCTTGTAAAAAAAATTAAGATTACCTTTTGTGAACAATAATGATTTTATTATGCTAAAATCCTCATTTTTAGCTTTTTGTTCATTATATATGTGGAGTTCTGTAGCTCAGTGGTTAGAGCACTCGCCTCACAAGCTAGAGACATGGGTTCGATTCTTAGCAGGGCGAAACCTTGGGCAAGTTTCCTTACACCACATGCCTGATAATAATCCCTCAAGAAAAAACACAATAATAATTTGGTCACTCAATCCACGACTGTTTGTGGGACACTGCTGTGAGCAATTGGCTGCTGCGTTTTGCCCACAAATATACAGTCAATTCACTTTACAGTGTATTCTGTGAAGTGCTTTGAGACCTCTAGAAGACGTGAAAAGCGCTATATCAAATGCAAGGATTATTATTATTATTATATGATGCAATCTATACTATGTGAAATGTAATGTCCATTGTAAGCAACAACAACAACAACTTGCACTTATATAGTGCCCTCCACGCAGGGTTGCATCTCAGAGTGCTGAGTTAGTAGTTAGTCAGATAGTTAGCTCAGCCTGGTGTTGGACGGTATATTTATATTCATTTGCTGAACAAAAATACATTCTCTCTAGAATTAAAGGTTGGTGATACAGTTACTGTTTTTAAAAAAATTTTAAGCGCATATAAATCTTCCTTATTTTCTTAATTCTTCTCCCTGTTCAGGCCTCAGAAGAATATTCAACTCTTGTGGTAGAGAGGGAGGGTAAGTGTGTGGGCAGGTGAATTGTTTATGCCTCTGGCAATTACTCTTCAGCCAGCTGCAAGGAGTCACAGTTCACAATCCAGTGATGATTGTCTCCAATTTCCCGTCTCCCCTGTGGGTAGGCAGCAAGCCTCTGCTGGGCTCAAACCCCCAGGAGCAAGTCTGAGATCAAGATTGCATTGGAGTGGAGGAGAAATCAAACTGGTATCACTTCACTCATTGATACACTCATTGCTGTTCCAATGCACAAGGAGTGATGTGCCACTATCATTATAAGGTTACATCTGAAGTCATCCATAGTACAATGAGGCAATTTAACAGCAGGCAGTACGCCTATCTTTGAAACTCCAAACATCACAAATTAAATTCCAAAGTCACTCATCTGCTGATTGTTTCCTTAACAATGAATTTTACGTTTGCATTAATATGGAATAAATGTAAATATAAAAGGGAATAAACAAGCACAATAGTCTGTTACATGGACTCATACATGGACTCAAGTAAGGCCTCTGATTCCAATGTCATCGCTTCTACTATCCTTCAACATCTATGCCTCCAAACTTGGCCCTAGCCTTTGCCATTTCCTGAGCCTCTGAAACTTCCAGTTGATCTTTCCCTCTTGGAAATCTGGCTTTGCTTACCCTATAGGTAAGAAAGACAATCCTTCAAACTAGTCTTCAAACTACTGCATGTTGCCTTGACAGCTGTACTTGCTTTAAAAAAAGTCATTGTAAAGATTTACTAATTTTAGCAATGTTAACATGGTCTTCCACCAAATTTCCTCTAAAATGGCTCTATATGTGTTGATGGTTCATCCTGTTTATAAACTTTGAGCTTCCCCAGGGCAGTTCTCTCTCTGACTTTGTTCGTTCTTCAAATCAATAACCTCCTTCAATCTTCATCTAATTTTATCCAATATTTTACTAATGAATCCTGACTGTTTTCATCAACCTCCTTCACTTCACAATGCACACTACCTTGCCTTCTGTCACAATGCAATGGCTGAGTTATGGAAAATTGATATCTTTCAAGTCCTTTGATGGAGCATTAATTATTCTGTTTCTTTCAATTCCTCAAAGTCAGAGTTTCTTCTTGTCTCACATGTCTTACCGAAAGCTGCCACCTGCTACCATTCATGGTTTTGAAGGTCACAAAAGAGATTCAAATGAAGAAAGTCCCTTTGGCCCATTTGATCTCATCTTTCTTTGCACATCACCATTCTGGCCTCACTATCTCCTCTCACAGAACAGAGTTAGAATATTCACATCCTCCGAATTCACACTGTCTCCTCTGAAATATATTCCTTTCTAGAACCTCAACAGTGCGGAACCCTTTATCTCCCTCAATCTTCAAAAAAATAATAATAATAAATTGGTCACTTCAATACATGTGGGACACTGCTGGGCACAATTCGTTTCTGTGTTTTGCCCACAAAATATACAGTCAATTCAGTTTACACTATATTCTATGAAATGCTTTGAGACATGTTGAAGACGTGATAAGGCCCTATATCAAATGCAAGGATTATTATTATTATATTATTCCTTCAAACAAAACTCAGACTTGTAAGGCTTAAGCTTGGCATCACCTAGCCACTTTGTATTAACTTATGTTATTTCTCGGTTACTCTTTCCAATCATGGTGTATTGCACTGGGAGCCGAAGCTATTCATTCACATTCCGAATAAAAAAAAATTCAATCTATTGAAAAGTGCACATTCATTATAGTTTATTTTTACACTGCTGCAACAAAATCTTGGAATGCTTTTAAAACCATTAACAAAATGTACACTCAATCACAGCATCATACCAGAAAAGATATAATTAACTTTTTCACTTATCTCGCCACTAAAATGTGCTGATCAGAGATACTTTCTGACAGTTGAATGAAACTAATTTTTGGAATACTGAATACCAACAAGTTTAGGCTAGCTCTCAATTTTTTTTCAACTGGACTGCAATTCAAGAACTGACATTTCATGAATGCCACAGAAAATAAGTTCTGGTACATATTAGGCTGAATTAGGATGGAAAGAATCAAATGATTAATTAAATTAAGAACACGGATACAAAGATCTATTTTAAAAAAGAGATGAGATGAATAGCCGTATTATTTCCAGTCTTAAATATCAGTCTTAAAATCTAATAGAGTTTTTTTACTCTTCCAGAATATCACTCTTAAGGGACTTTGTAACCAAATTACTTTTTCTTTCAAGTAGTCAAATGTGAAAGTGCAAGGGTCAATTTAATAGACAGTGAATAATGTTTCAGTCAATTATCAATTTGACAAATCCAAAAAAAATGATTGTCATGAAGTGCAAAGCAAATGCGTTGCATCTCTATGCCAACACAGATGACATTTTGAATGCACTACAGTGAAATATGCAACATAACTTTATCATCATTCTCCCACAAAATATACAGTTAATTCACTTCACAGTATATTCTCGAAGACATGATAAGGCACTAAATCAAATGCAAGGATTAGTATTATTATTATGCTGTTATTCTTCAGTATCATCTCCCGCGATAAAAGTAGTGGATATGCCAGTAAAAAGGATGTTAATCAGGCCCATGACCCTTCACACAGAGTTTTTAATCTCTGCCATGCCGCAATGGAGAAGTGCTAATCAGAGACTAGCTTCTTTCCCAAAACAAAGTGGGAAAAATCAGATGAAGAGTGAGTTCAGACCACTTTTTTTCACCTCTCAGAAGAATTTTGGCAGAGCCCTGAGAGTAGGTTGTCAACCTCTTTCACAATAAAATTCAATGTAAGTGGGATTAAAAAGTAATGAAAGTGTGGGGAAAAGAATTACAACAATTTCATTTATACAACAACAACAAGATTACATTTATATAGTACCTTCCACATTGGAAGGATGTCTCAAGGACTGAAATCAAAGGAATCAGAGGAAAAGAAGAATTAGAGGAAAAGAAGACTTTAGCCAAAGATGGTCCATGATAAGGAGAAACCAAATAAAGAGAATAAAAGAAGGAAGCACTCTTAACGGCAAGGAGTGGGGGATCTTGTCTGAGTAGCTAAATAAAAAGTTGGGGCTTTATTGTTGCATTACAGTAACATTTCTGGACAAGTCATCACACAATAGCATTAACTAAAGTTTAGACTTCACAATATATAATCATTCTCAAAAAAAATTAAACTCCTGGTTTTGAGCTGCATATCAGAAATATTCAATGGATTATAACAATTAAATACTTCAAAGGCTTAGCCTAGCCTTTTCAAAATTGTTCTCAGATAACAATAGTGAGGGGGAAGGGGGAAGACAAATCCATGCCAGGCCAATCCATTCAAAGCAATCTTTCTTTGCAATCAAATTTTGTTGAAAATAATAAGTAAAGATTGATAACAAAGTAAACAAATAATAATAACAATTCCTCCATTTTATGTTGGACCTTTCACAGTTGGAGAAACAGCTCAAGCGTTTCACAGAATATACTGTAGTGTGCAGTAACTGTGTATTTGAGGGCGAATTTTGCAGATATGTCTCAAAACATTAAGTGAATGACCTGGAGGAATGATGGCCAGGACATTGGGGAAACTCCCTTCTCTTTTAGAATAGTGCCATGCAATCTTTAACGTCCAACTGAACAGTACACGGTGACATGTGTATTGTGCATAGAAATGCACAAGACATTAATTGAATGACACGG